AACAGCGAAAGCTGCTGCGGTAGAGGAAGATGCAGCAGTTGCGACAGCTACTGGCCGGAGAAGTGCAGGAGGCGGCTGCTGCGATAGAGGAAGATGCAGCAGTTGCGACTGCTATTGGCCGGAGAAGTGCAGGAGGCGGCTGATGTCTTCTCTGGTGCTGCCCAACGTGGGGCTGAAGGACCACGTTGTCCTTCCGGCGAAGAAGAAGGAAGAGGAAGGTGCAGCAGTTGCGACTGTTACTGGCCGGGAAGCGAGGAAGACACCGTTGTTCGCCGTTCACTGCTATTGAGGAGAGAATGTTTTCCTCCTTGCGTGACGGCGACGGAGAGTGTCTGCTGTAGGCAGCAAATAGGAGAGGGAGCAAGGCCGGCGAAGAAAAGCAAGACCGGTTAGCACTGGCTCTGAATCCGTGTCTTGGTGCTTCTTCAATGACTCCGCTTGAGGCAGCGTGCTACTGTGGCCGCTTGGCTAACACATGGCGATGCTGCTGTCGCCAAGAGGAGCTGCTCTGATACCATGTTAAAATAAAGAGATAAATGAGTTATTGAAGAAGAAGTTGAATGTTATTGACATATCCTTCGTCTTTATATACAGGTTAGAATGATAAGTTTCCTCAACGGGTTAGAGGATTTCCCTCAACAGAGTAGAGAGATTTCCTCAACAGTTAGGGAAATCTCATCTACTTATCAATAACATGTCATGTTTCCAAAGTAAGCAACATGCATTTAACTTCATCAACAAGATGGATTGGTTGTAGATTGTACTTGGCATCAATGTCATGTTTTCCAACCCACATAAGTAAAGAATCTGGATTTGGTACTCTCCCACCGCCTAATCTTAGATTCCGCCTTCCCTGATCCAAAGTGCATGCCACTATAAGCTGCATGATGGATCATATATATAATTATGTACATTACATTTCACCCCATTTAGATTCGTGGCTTCATGGTGAATGTAAAGAGTGTGAATCTGTTACCCTCATCTATTGCATGTCTTCGGCTTATGAAACATCGTGGACGTGTTTTATTGCTGACGCGGACGTTCATGTGACGCAGATGGCGGAACTCAACACGACCAACGTGCGCAAGTAAATGCGACGTCCGTGCCACGTGACAGACAGCTGTGCTGATGGCGTCGTGGTACGTTAACTGCCCATCGCGTTTCGA